CTGGCCGTGCAGAGCTGCCGTCGCAGCGAAAGCACATTGGATCGCTCAACCCGATGCCGGCCACCCCTGAGCTGTGGCTGGAGGAGAAGCGGCAGCGCGATGAGCAGGAGGCAGGCGTGCCACCGCACCTGTGGTTGATCCACGGCAAGCTGTACGACCTCACGGGCTTCATGGACAAGCACCCTGGTGGACCGGAGTGGCTTGAGTTTGTGCGCGGCATGGACTGCACGCTTGAGTTTGAGACGCACCATCTCGACGACGCCAAGGTGCAGCGGCTGCTGGCCAAGTACTACGTCAGGGACGCCGACCCAGACCGCATCCGTCGCGTGCAGGCGTTCACGTTCAAGTATGACGGCTTCTACAAGACCTTCAAGCGACGTGCACTGCCTGTGATCCGTCAGCATGGGGGCACCCACGGCGGCCGTAAGATGGAGCTTGCATCTGCGTTTGCCATCCTCGTGTGGACCCTCTCCTATACGGCCACCTGCATCACTGGCTCCTTGTTCCTCGCGGCACTCTCAGGTGTGTGCGTGCGTGTGTGTGTGAGTGTGTGTGTATGAGTGTGTGTAACTGTATGAGTGTGTGCGAGTGTGTGTGAGTGTGTGTGTGAGAGACTGTGTGTACAAGTGTGTGCGAGTGTGTGTGTGTGTGTGTGTGTGTGTGCGAGGGTCCTTGCGCTGTGTGTTGTCACATGCACACAGACATGCACGAGCGTGGACGACGAGAGTACTCGAGTGTGCAACCCGGGCTGTGACTGACTGACAGCACTCGACCCCCTCGCATACCACGGCGTCGCGCACGCCCTTTCTGCAGGTGTGTTCTTGTTGGCCATGTTTGGTGTTGGACACAACTACTTTCACCAGCGCAACCACCCGTTTCGCTACGCCATGGACCTTACGTTTGCCGGACACCATCAGTGGCGCATTTCCCACGCCATCAGCCACCACGGACACGCCGTCAGTACACATGGTGTTGTAGGTGTTGTTGTTGTTGTTGTTGTTGTTGTTGTTGTTGTAGTTGTAGTTGTTGTTGTTGTTGTAGTTGTAGTTGTTGTTGTTGTTGTTGTTGTTGTTGTTGTTGTTGTTGTTGTTGTTGTTGTTGTTGTTGTTGTTGTTTAAGTTGTTGTTGTTGTTGTTGTTGTTGTTGTTGTTGTTGTTGTTGTTGATTCTGCTGTACATGCGCACGTTTGCACAAGAGTGCATACACTTGACGTGTCCCTGCGTGTGGTTCACCAATCACTTGCACCTCTTTTCTTTCACGCACACGACGCGGTGATGCAGAATCTGGACATTGACATCGAGCTGAGCCAGCTTGAGCCGCTGTCGACGTTCCTGCGCTCCCAGCCCCGCTTCGGCCCCTGGATCTATCTCGCGTATGTTTGTTCGCAGCTGGCTCATCTATGCTGGCACCAGCGTGCGGTTGTTGGCCTTTGCACTCACATGCACACACCCACAAACAATTTCATGCACATACACGCTTACGTATTGCACACATATGTACACACATGTACACACACACGTGTTTCATATCACACATGTGCATACACGCATACACGTGACACGCATACACATCCACATGCGTATTTCACACACACACACACGCATGCGTGTATGCAGCGCCGTCCCGTACTATCTTGTAGCCGCTCCAATTGACATTGCACGGACGTGGATTGGGCTCATCACGGGCGCAGCGTCGCGCCGCCCAGAGCAGATCATCCGCATCGCACAGGTGCTTATTGTGTGTGTGTGTGTGCCGTTGTTGTCGCGGGTCGCTTGCTGTTCTCTTGTGTTGACATCTGCATGGAGCGCGCATGCGCCACTCGCACGTTCTCACAAGTACAAACACACACATTCTCACACATACACACACACACACATACATATTCTCACACACACACATTCACATTTGTTCCAACACGAACAGCTGGTGATCCTTATGGCGTGCCAAGGACCGCTGTGGGGCCTGCTGCTGTTTGATGTCATGCACACCTTTGGTGCTCTTGGCCTCTTCGTCGCCTCCTTTCCCGTCCACCGCACGGAGTACGCCTGGTCCGATGGCTGCCAGTCCGTCGACCCAGACAAACCAGACTTTGGAGAGTGAGTGCGACGTGTGTGGATTTGGGAGGTTGTGTAAATACGTGTGTGATGTGTATGTGTGTGTGTGATGTGTGTGATGTGTGTGATGTGTGTGATGTGTGTGATGTGTGTGATGATGTGTGTATGTGTGTGTGTGTGTGTGTGTGTGTGTGTGTCATGCGTATGAGTGGGTGGTGTTCATGAGTGCTTGCGACTTTTGTGCGTGTGTGTGTGTGTCTGACTGTATCAACATGTACCCGTGAAGTTTGCATTCGGTTGTGCTTTGTGCCATGCCTGTGCACCCGCTCTTCACTGCCCGCAGTTGAATGCCCCTCTGCTCCTGCCCTCATGTCCACGTTCTCCATCATCGCCACCACCATTGTCGTGATGTACAGACACATTGTCGCTGTGTCGCACGATTACGGGCTGGACCTCGGGCTGCTCGGGCAGATTTTTCTTGCCGGGTCGTTCAACAACCACATCATCCACCACCTGCTGCCCACGCTTGATCTCTCCAAGCAGCGCCTCCTCCTCCCGCTCCTCGATGACCTCTGCGCCGAATTCAAGGTGCGCGCACGTGTTTGGTGTGTGTGTGTGTGTGTGTGTGTGTGTGTGTGTGTGTGTGATTGGACTTAAATGCGGCATTGTTTGAGATGTATGGCACGGTTACACTGTATCATGTGTATTCTTTGACACCATGAATGACTGGGATGTGTGACATGAACCACTATGCTCTTACACACACACACACACACACACACACACACACACAGCTTCGTCGGCACAAGCGGTCGTTTCTGGAGCTGTTTGGGTCGTACGTGCGCGCGATGCACGTGACAAAGGAGCAGGGCCTCAAGTACCATCCAGACGGACACCAACATGCTGGACGAAATGGCGCCAGTCACAAGAAGACAAACTAGAAACCACACACACACACACACACATACACACACACACACACACAACACACACACACACACACACACACACAAAGACATGCGTGTCCAAGCGCCCTCCAGCACATTTGCTCGTGTCGCGTAGCTCTGCCTACGACCCATTCATTTACCCACGTTAGATGCTGTCAACCGTGTGAACACACCGCCACTGCCTGCCTGATTGCCTGCCTGTTCCTGATATTCCCTGCCCACTCGTGTGCTGTCTGTTACTCTCCATCCGCCAAGTAAATCATCAAATCGCCATGACGATGCCGGTGGCCAATTACCAACACAGCAGCCGAAGTCAGCACTGCCGTGTATCGCAGATGTGGTGGTTGCTGCTGACAACGACGATATTCCGCTACACCTGCGAGAGGGTCAGGGAGGCGTCTTCGCCGTGGTCAATCTGTTGGCACAGGCCCTTGATCAGCGACTCGACAGCCTGCATCGCCGCGGGGTTGACGTGTTGTGGCTGCTGCTTGTTGTGCTCTGACTGCTGCGCGTGTAGGTGTGGTGCACGTGCTGTGGTGCCACGGTTGCCCGATCGTCCTGCCTCATCACTCTGGCTTGGCGTCTTGCGTTGCGCGTTACCACCTCGGTCATCACTGCCGGTAGATGCGGATGACACCGTGCTTGATGCCGAGCTTGTCTTGCGTGAAGCCACAGCCACGCTGCTGTTGTTGTTCCTGCTGTCACTGGCACTCGTGGTGTTGGCCGAATTCTGACGTGTATGCTTGCTTGAAGACGCGGGCTGATGTTTGGTGGCAGTGCTGCTTATGGTGTGGTGGTGCTTGCAACTTCTGCTGCTGCTTGTGTTGTTGCTGTGGAGCTCTTGATTACGGCTGGGATGGCTTTTCCGACTCGTGGTCGAGGGCGCAGCGTGACTTGAGGAGGAGCGAGCAGTGCTTCGGTTCCCATCAGCGTCGGTTGACCGACGGTGTGCGGAAGCCGTGTTTTCAGGGTAAGGGGATGGGCGCATGCTCCGTGAACGCTCATGTTGCGTGGAATGACTCCGTTTCCTGCGTTGCTGCTGTTGCTGCTGATGCTGCTGCTGTTGCGGTTGTTGTCGCTGTTGCTGTTGTTGTCGCTGCTGTTGTTGCGGTTGTTGTCGCTGTTGCTGTTGTTGTCGCTGCTGTTGTTGTCGATGCCGTTGCCGGTGCTCCTCCTCACCGTTTCCGTGATGTGATTGAGCAAGTTTGGGCCTTTGTGCTGGTGGCTCGGTGAAGTCATCCATATCATTGTCAACCCACATGTCGTCGCCATAATCATCATCATCATCATCATCGTCGTCGTCGTCGTCGTCATCCTCTCGCCTGCGATGGCGGTGTTTGTGTTGATTCGTGGGACGATGGCGTGCTTCTTTTGTTGCTGAACTTGCGGCATCTTGGCCGTCATGCGAAGTTGCATGCGTGGTCGCCGCTGATCCTTCTTCCTTGTCACCATCGCCGCCGGTGACGGGAAACGTCTCCAGCCCGTACCGAAGAAGACGAAACATGCCGGGGGGACTTGGAAGGAGAGGTGGAAGCGTGTGGGGTGGGCTGGGGTGTCTTGTTCGGTGTTGACTGGCTGGCTGGAGGTTGCGGACAGACACAAAACAACAGACAGCGGGCGCCGCGCAAAATTTGAATTGCGCCGTTGTGGTTGGTTGTTGTGTTCGGGGACACAACAGCCAAGATGCAAGACAAGCGAGCGGCTGCGTACGTGAGGGGATGGGGATGGATGGAAGCGGCGTGAAAGGAGGGATGTTCAATCAAGATGGGGAGTTTGGCGTGGTCGCATACATTTCCCCCCCCCCCCTCGTCACAGAGTCAAGCGCAAGAGCAGGTAATACGAACGACAGAACGAAGAAAGAGTGTCCGTCGAGCGACTTTGACCAGACAACAACACAACACAACTGCGTGAACGACTGAACCTCAACCAGTCAACCCTGACTCAGCAACCCCCACGACACCTTTCGAGGATAGCAAGATGACGAACAGCAACAAGAACAGTGCCAGCACATCGGGTACAGGTGAAATGGTAGCCACAGAGCCTGCTGATGGCGTATATTTTCGGCATGGGAGCGCAAACAAAGAAGGCGTGTCTCGCCGACGACAGTGGATCTATCTTGGGCCCGTGGTGGCCGCCCCGCTCACACACATCTGCGTCACTCTCTACCGAAAGGTGTGCGTGTGTGTGTGTGTATACATGTAGGGGTTTGTACACCTGTATGTGTGTGTGTGTGTGTGTGCGTGTGTATGTGTGATGCGCAACATTCTGGACACACCGCTCACCCCCATGTCCCCACCACACTTCGTTTTGCTGCCTCTTGACCAGACGCCAAAGAAGTGGCGCCCGTGGATGGCGTGGGGTGGCGTGGGTGGCCTGTCGTTTCTCGCCGTGGCCAACCGCCTCGTCCTCATGTACCACGCCGGATACCCATGCGAGGACCACATCGACGTTAGCAAGCGCCTCGTGCGCGCAGGCGAAGAGCAGCCCGAAACAGCCGTCGGCGTCGCCAAAGACATTATCAAGCATTCCATCTAAGGACCAAAGTGCAGCTCAGTGTGTGTGTGTGTGTGCAACTCTGGGGAGGTGCATGTGTTGGTGAGCTGCCGCCACGCCTGAGGAGAGGGCTCCCTGTGGCGATGCTGTGATACGTGTTTTCCTTTCTGCTTTGTCCTGTGTCAGGCAGACCTTGTCCGCATCTGCTGCGTTACTGTACTGCAGCCATTCTGACTGGACAGAAGCAACTGCTCGCTGCTGGTCACTGCTCTGTTTTGTTTGCTGCTGTCACTTTGCTTGCTGGTTGGACGAAGTGAGAACTTGTTTACTCGTGTGGACTCGTGGGTGCAATGTGGATCGTTGCACGTTCGCCGTTTGCAGTAAACGGCGTGCGAACTTGCGCTTGATGAATGGAATCACCTGCACATACACAATCACACACACAGCGCCATGGATGAATGTGTGTACGTGTACGTGCATGTGTGTGCAGTTACACCTTGGGCTTCTTGGGTGCTGGGTCTGCTTGCTCAGCAGCTGCGGCCTTCTTCGCTTCTTCTTGCAGAAAGCTCACGTCATCGCCAACAGCAAACGTCTGCATGTCCTGTGAATTGTGTGTGTGTGTGTGCGTGTGTGTGTGTGTGTGCGTGTGTGGGTGTGTATGTGTGTATGTGTGTATGTGTGTATGTGTGTATGTGCGTGTGCGTGTGTGCGCACTCCTGGTCCCAACACAATTGACACAGTATGCGGGCGTCCAGCATGCGAGGTCACCTCCTTTCACAACGCCGCCATCACCAACACCACTGTGTCATTCCTGACACACGACCACATACTTTGCCATGGAGAAACACGCGAATCGGCAGGTTCTTTCCCTCAACCGTCCACTTGTCGCCTGCAGCGTTGCGATGGTCATGGCGATGGTAGTGGCGATGGTGGTGGTGACACAAGTGGTGGCGGTGAGGTGGTGGAGAGTGTGTTGAGTGGGCGTCATGTGGCAAACGTGTCCCCAATGCATGATGGGACGAGTGAATACCTTCCACATGAAGAATGGTCCCTTCCGGCAGCGCTGTCAAACACACACACACACACACATGCATACACAGGAGAACATGGGTAATTGTGAGGGAAGAGGAACTTGTGGCCTCCCTTCATCTTCAGATGTGCGGTTATTACGCAATACTACCCCATCGCAGTTCACGACACGGCGTACCGAGCACTGGTGTTGTGTTGTCCTCCAGAAACTGCTCAAGCCGCTCGCGCCTTGTATGACAACAGCACGCGCATGCATGCAGGCAGCGCGTGAATCATCGGGAAGCCAGTGGTGGAGGAGGTTCACGCACGCGCGCATAGAGAGACACGAAGACGGGGACGCACGAATGCACTCTCACACACACATTTACCTTGTCTCGCCCTTGTGGGTGCTGTTAGGGTCTGGCTCCAGGTAGTGTGGGTTGATCTGCACATGCGTAGAGCGTGTATCGCCCATGACTTGACTGCTCGGACTGGCAAAGGCAGGCGTCGTGCCCTTATCCAAGGGACAAGTGCACACACACACACACACACACACACACACACAAGCACACACACACACACACACACACACACACACACACACACACACACACACACACACACACAAGCACACACACATACATACATACATACATACATACATACATACATACATACATACATACATACATATATAGAGACGACACCACCGACCTGGATGGGGACGAGGGCGAGGGCCTCAAACGAGGGTGGCTGGACGATGGGCATATCATTGGTGGTGCGGATGGACTTGCAGGCCACGTTGGTGCCGGCGCTCGCCCCCATGTACGGCATGCCCCCAGCGACACGCGCGCGAATGGCGTCAACCACCTGTCGACGAGAGAGGAGGAGGGGAGGGTGTGTGATAGCGCTCGATGGTGCATGTGTAGAACGCAAGGCGGGAAGTCGATTGCACCTCACATTGTGGGAGGCAGCAGGGGCCACCTGTGTTACAGTTGAACATACGTTGTGCTTGTAGAGCAAGTTGAGCAGGCGGAAGGTGTTGCCGCCACCAACGAAGATGCTCTCTGCTTCATTCTGCACGATGTGCGTGCGTGCGTGCGTGTGCGTGTGTGTAGGTAACGTGAGCTCGTGACTTGCGCAAACCCATGCTCTGCATCCAGTGACATCGAAAACAGAGGCGCAGGCTGATACCTTGCATGATGACACTCACCACAGCGGCAATCTTGTCGTCGCACTCGTGCAGGCCCTTCACGTCTGTCACAGGCGGGTTTGCAAGAGAGACATCGCACGGAGTGTGAGGGCATTGTCATTCTGTCCTGAATTGCTTCGCACATCACTGCGGTTGTCGTCAAGTCGCTCACCAAAGCCCATCAGTTTGAAGCGGTCCCTCGCCTTGGCCGTGTATGCATCACAGTCCTGGTCGCCAACGCATCCCAGTAAGAAGTGTGGGCGTGTGGGTGTGCATGCGCGCGTTTGAGGGATGAGCGCATGCAAGGACAGCACAACAGCAAGTCGGAGACAAGTCTTGCATGCAGAGACAGAGACAGAGACAGAGAGACAGACAGAGAGACAGACAGAGAGAGATATACAGACAGACAGATAGAGAGACAGAGAGAGACAGACAGACAGAGAGACATGGACACAGACACACAGACAGAGTAGGTGATGTGGTATTCTGCAAAGATGGTGGTCGTACCTTGAGTGCAAATGGGATGAACAGGACCGATGAGACGTTGCTGGCCTTGAGGAATGTCGTCATGGCCTCCGCACAATGGTCCAAGTACCCTGTAGGGTGCGTCCTGCATACGGCACACGGCGACACGGCGACACGGCGACTCGTTCTGCGTGAATGTCGTTGCACGCACCCTTCGGCACACATACATGCACGCACGCACACACAGCCACACACACAGACACACACACAGACACACACAGACACACACAGACACACACAGACACACGTGCAGGCACACATGCAGACACACGCACACACATATGCAGACACACAGACACAGACACACACACACACACGCTTGATGCTGGCTTACGTGCTGTTGCTGATGAGCAAGCAGCGGGGTGCAACCTTGCCAGCCATCGTGGTGTCTTCTTTTGATATTGGGTGGTGGTCAGTGGACGCCGCGAAATTCAAACTCTGTGTGTGTGTGTGTGTGTGTGTGTGTGTGTGTGTGTGTGTGTGTGTGTGTGTGTGTGTGTGTGTGTGTGTGTGTGTGTGTGTGTGTGTGTGTGTGTGTGTGTGTGTGTGAAGTTGTAACAGCACGTGTTTGCAAACAACCATCATCCCAACCCCTCACTCACCACGACACACACACACACACACACGTGTACGTGACGCGCATTGGATGTCGTGTATTCCCCTGTCACGGTCACAAGTGCGGCAACATCAAGGCACAACCAAGCAAAACCAGCACCTCACGATCACGTGGCGGTGTGGTGGCGGCCTCAAAACGGTCCAAAGCAGGTACCAAACACACACACACACACAAGCAAAGCGAAGCAGCAAGCAAGTACAGACGGGCAGAGAAGGGCGAGAACGGGTGCAATTACGGCCGAGTGCCAACGGAGCGATAATGGGGAGGAGACAAAGACGTGGATGGCACCAGCACTGCTGACTATGAGAAAATCAAAACACACACACACACACACACACACACACACACACACACACACACACACACACACACACACACACACACACACACACACACACACACACACACACGCACGCAAGCACGAAGACACAGGCGGCACGAACGAGCAGAGCAGGACCTAGAAACTGGGCAAGTGCCCATACGCCACGAGGGCGGAGAGGAGGACGTAGAGAATCCACATGCCGACGAAGAGGGCAACAGTTGCGCGCTTCCACTTGCGCGGGCCGCCAAGCTCTGCGCCAAGGAACTTGCGTCGTGCCAAAATCACAGCAAACCACAGCACCGCAAACACACAAAACACTGTGGATGTGATGTGATGTGATGTGATGTGTGTGTGTGGATGAGTGAGCACAAACAAATACGGGCGAATGAGTGGCAGGGCGGTGCTGACATCAAATGGTAAACACGCGAAAGAAGCAAGGTCACAGCAACAGATGACGAGAGCATCCACGTGAGCAATGTCATCGCACCAACGACGCTGAAACCAAGGGCGCCTGCGGGGACCATGAACTTGTGGTTTTGTGCGGACTGGTAGCTTGCACCCAGTAGCCACGCAAGCCCAACGCCAAGGAACACTATACGACAGGCAGCATCAGCACAGGCAATGCCAGGAAACATGACACAGGCGCGCGTGTGTACGTGCACGTGTGTATGTACACGTGCGTTGAATGAATGAGAAAGCGTGTGCACAGATAGGTGGACGCAGTTGCAGGCAGATGTAAACACACACACACACACACACACACACACACACACACACACACACACACACACACACACAACGGCATGAAAGCGTGCGCACCGTTGACTGCGTTGCTGCCCGTGACGTTTCCAACTGCATCATCAGCGTACGGCTGCTTCTCCGCAGCGACTGGCACACACACACACACGCACACACAGTTAACACAAGTTTGTGTGGAAGTGGTGCGGCAGTACGCATAACAGCAGTGAACACAACAACGCACATACACATGCACACACATATACGCAAACAGCAAAACGAAGCAGCAATAACAGCAGCAGCAGCAGCAGATAAGTGCGCACTTTTGCTCGCGAAGATATCCGGAACACTCGTGCCAAGTGCAACAAACGAAATGGCCGTCACCGTGTCCTGAAGTTGTGCGTGAGAGAGAGAGAGTGTGTGTGTGGGGGGGGGGGGAGGAGATTGAGTGAGTGTGTGAGTGGGAGTGAACGAGCATTGGCGCACACGAACACACACACGCACACGCGTCACATGTGGATGAATTGCCCACCTCAAGGCCGACGGTGCAGCCGAGACCGGTGGCAATGTCCGCAACAAGCGCCGTGAAGAACCCTGACATTGCATGCAACGTGCGGGCAGGGTGAGTATGGACATGTTGAAGTGTATGCGTTCATCTGTGAAACACAAAGACAGACATGCAAGAACACACGCACACGCACACACGCACACACACACACACACACACACACACACACACACACACACACACACACACACACAAACAAACAGACAGACAAGTGCGCCTTCACGGTCCTGTGCGACTGACCAATGTACATGAGAGACATGCCGAAGCAGGCCCAGCCCCCAAAGTGGATGGCCGGTGGGGTGAGGACGGCGAGGGGGAAGTTCCAGAGCACCATCACTGAGAACAGCGCCAGCTCGCCCCACGAGTGCTTGGCCTGTGGTTGGTGGCAGTGGTATGGGGTTGAGCCGATCGTTTTGGCACAGGTTTGGTGTGTGTGTGTGTGTGTTCACGACACAATCCCACCATCACACGTTGACACAATCCCACCATTACACAATCATACGTTCACACAAGCACACCATGACACAATCACACGCTCATACAAGCACACATGCAACTAAACAACTCGGCGTCGTGTCCTGTCTGGGGGTGTGTGTGTGCGTGCGCTTACGTCCGTCGTCTGTGTTTCGTCGATAAGATAGCCGTCCTCGTGCAGAATGTAGCGCGTGTCATCATCGTCGCTGTCGCTGTCGTTCGTGTATGTCGCCAGCTTCATGCCCGCACCGGTGTCACCACCGGCCTGCTCATCCTCATCCTCTTCCTCTTCATCGTCGTCGTCGTCATCATCATCGTCCCCACCGCCGTCGACTCGCAGCGAACACCTGCTCACGATGTTGCATACACACGCACAAACATACACACAGATGCACACATGCATAAATGGAAGCGGGTATGCTGTCAGCATTGCACTCGCACGCGTCCACGCATCCACACGCATACACGCATACGTACACAAATACACCAGCGCATGCTTGTACCTGATTTGCTCGAGATACGGGGTGTCTGCCTCTTCGTCTTCAGTGAGCTGCTCATAGATGGAACACCACCTGTCGCAGGGAAATAGCGATATGATGATGATGATGATGATGATGATGATGATGATGATGATGATGATGATGATGATGATGATGATGATGATGATGATGATGATGATGATGATGATGATGATGATGATGATGATGATGATGATGGTGATGATGATGATGATGATGATGATGATGATGGTGATGATGATGATGGTGATGATGATGATGATGATGATGATGATGATGATGATGATGATGATGATGATGATGATGATGGTGATGATGATGAGAACAGAAGCAAGGTTCGACCAGCCAACGCGAAATGCATCACCGGATCAGCACACGGACTGCATCGTGGAGAGTGCAAACGTCACCACCACCACCACCACCACCACCATCATCATCACCACCACCTGAGGTAGATGGCGTCGTAGAGAGAGTCTGCCTCTGGCCGCTGGTGGACGTTGATGGTGATGCTTCGCTGCAGCCAGTTCATCCGCTCGCCCGTCGCAGACTCAAGCTGCACTGAAAACTCCTGTGGCCGCATGATAGCGACGACAACGACGACAATGATGATGATGATGATGATGATGATGATGATGATGATGATGATGATGATGATGATGATGATGATGATGATGATGATGATGATGATGATGATGATGATGACGTGGGAGGAACCAGGGATTGTCATGCCATACACCACACACCCGTGCCCGCACGCAATGCGAAGACACTTACACACAGCACAACATACAACAACCCCACAACCACAACCACAAAACAGCGCGCTGACCTTGTCGCGGTTGTTTGGGGTGTCCTGGAAGAGTTCAATGTCAATGTACTTGACGCTCTCCTTCTCGGATCCAGGCAGCATAACCACTCCTTCCTTGTGTACATAGTGGATGTCCGGAAACGCCGTGCCAGGCACTAGTGTTGTTGTTGTGATTGTTGTTGGTGGTGGTGGTGTTGTTGTTGTTGTTGTTGTTGTTGTTGTTGTTGTTGTTGTTGTTGTTGTTGTTGTTGTTGGTGGTGGTGGTGTCGACCGTGTGAACATGGAAAGTGGAGAATGGTCAATGAGTGGGTGCGAAGCAACACACCAAAACCACAAAACGCATCACCGCACCACGGTGTTCGTGCTTGCCAAGTGCGCTCTCTCACCTTCACCCTCCCCTCACATACATACACACGCATACACATGCTTTCACGCATACACATGCTTTCGCTTCCTCTCCTCCTGCCCCCAACACGCACACACGCACACACACACACACACACGCACACACACACGTGTCCACACTCACCTGTCTTGTATTTGACCATGATGTCATATGATTCACCGCTTGGGACGCGACGGCCTACACGAAGCGTCGCCTTACCCGAGGACTTGTGTACGGCGATGTGCGAATCCAAGAAGCCAACCTGACCAGCACCTGCCTCCTCGCCGCCAGCCAGTGCCAGGCCAGGAAGGCCTAGGGCGGCCTGCTGCTGGCCCTCGTCCAGCTTGTCCACGTTGCGCAGCTTGCGGTGGACGATGGCATTTGCGCGAAGATACTTCTCCTCCGCTGGCAGGTTTGGGTCTGTCCTGTTGACCTGCTCCAAGGCGTGGGCCAGGCGGTACCTGTACTTGAGGCGCTCGCCGCGGTTAACGGGCATGTTGACCCACTCCTGCTCCATGTGTGTCTCGGCACGCGCCAGGTCTTGCCGCTTGTCCGGGGTGGTGGAGAGCTGGAGCATGAGGTTGCGCAGCTCGCTTGCCACGCGGTCCTGCGGGCGCAGCTTCTGGTCGAACATCCAGGCCATGCCGACGAGGAGCGGGAAGAAGAGGACGGTGACGACGCCCTCCCAGACCTCAATCTCGTCCGGCGAGATGACCGACACCATGAGGTACAGCCACACGTACGCAATGACGGAGAAGAAGGTCGTGCAGTAGAACACATAGAGCTCCTTGATGCGTCGCGTCTTGTTGATGTTCACGCAGACGGCGACGATGATGAGCATGTTGAAGGCGGCGGAGCCGACGATGGTGCCTGGCCCGAGCTCGCCCGACTGAAAGCCGCCGCCAATCACCTCCACGATGGACAGCAGGATCTCTGGCGCGGAGGAGCCCAGTGCCATGAGGGTGAGGTTGGCGACCGTGGCGTTCCAGATGTGGATGGTCACGACCTGATCGCCGCGCACAATGTGCTTCTTGGAGGACGTGATGTACTCGACGGCCTGCATGAAGTAGTCTGCGGAGATGGCGATGCCGACGAAGAGCCATGCCAGGACGATGGCGTAGATCAGGAAGTAGCCAAAGTTGGTCTCGCCAAAATAAGGGATGATCAGCCCGTCGCACGCATCCTCCGTGCTGTTGTTGTTGTTCAGGATCTCGGACAGCGTGGTTGCTGCCGACGTTGTCGTTGCAGCCATCCTCGTGCTTCCTTTTGTTGTGGTTGTGGTTGTTGTTGTGGTTGTGGTTGTGGTTGTGGTTGTGGTTGTGGTTGTGGTTGTGGTTGTGGTTGTGGTTGTGGTTGTGGTTGTGGTTGTGGTTGTGGTTGTGGTTGTGGTTGTGTGAGAGGCGATATGAATCCTGTGTGCTACACACACACACACACACACACATGGCACGGCATGCGGACAAACACGCGAAGCTACACGCATGTGGTGGCGGGGACGCAGGACACATGGTGATGGTGATGATCAAGGCGACCCTGGACATAGTGTGAGAGGGGTCGGGGCTGGTGGGTGAGAAGGCGGAGGGCGAAACGGCAAACGCGCTGCCGACCAAGGTGTCCGATGGCGATGGACCTTCAGACTTATACAGTTGTGAAGTGCACGCTGACATGACGCTCACTGAACAAACTATTCAAACAACTGTTCTGAACACCCACCAAAGACTCTGCTGCAACATAAAAACTCATTGGACTACTTCTTCATCCGCATCACTCAGAAAGCAAACAAAAGAAACTGGTCCAACAATTCGGTCGATTAGTACATGATCGATGAAATGGCATCTAACTAAGATCATGATTTAAGCTTGCATCGAAAGTC